TCCCATTATATTTTCCCCTTCAAGGCAAAAAGCACATTCAAGTTTTTAGCTTTAACAGCTCTGAACAATATTTTGTTCAAAAGTACTCTGAACATAATCATTCACACTAAGAACACACCAAAAACTAGCACAATTCTTCAAGATGTCTTAAAAAACATGCAGGGAAAAAATACCTCTGAAACAGTTTTAAACACCAAAGTTCTGAACTTTACCATCCCCCCAATAAATGTGCATTACACTTTTTATTTACAGACAAGAAAGTGTTTAAGATGTACAGTTGCAAAGGCAGAAGCATTTGATGTTCCTAGTCCAAAACGTCCAAGCACCATCTGCAGAGCAGCAGAGGGTGGAGGGTCTCGCACTGCAGGCTGAGCTGGGGCTGGCTCTGACACGGAGCTGTGGAGGGACACTGCCATGGCCACACCCCTGTGCGTGTCCTACCCCTCAGCAAAGCACACTGGCACAGGACAGCTGCGTGCTGGCACAGCCACAGAGCTTCCTGAAACTTTGTTCAGGTCCTGACAGTCCAAAAGACAAAAAAGTGTGTGTGACTATCTGCAGCAAAGCACAATGCTTTGATGGCATGACTTTTGTTATTTATTTAGCTAGCTGAATAAGTTTGAATTCGAATAAAGCAGCAGTCACAGTAGCAACTGCAGAAGAAAACTGTGCAGCACTAGACTAAAGAGACAGTAAAATGGTCTCAGACAAATTCTGAAGGAAGTTTCGAGAGGAAACTGACGCTGTTGACCATTCTTTCAACTTATTTTTAGGAACTTTTTGTTCTGAAAAAGGGACTGAAAAATCCTTAGCATGACACAGTGTTTCACAACAACAATTCATGGTTATTAATAAAAAACAATTAGTAATTTCGTTTATTAACAAATACAATGATACTCAAAAAGCTAACACTGTCAGAAAATGTTTCTAATTCAACTGAAAAATACAGTCCCCATTTCAAGTCTATCAGATTGATCCTTACAGTGATGGGAGGACAAAGTTCCCTGCTGAAGTTTTGAGTAAGGGTTATTTAAGGTCCACTCTAGTTATTGTCAATCTTGCTGCTCACTAGCAGACACAAGAAGTAAGCCACTTTACCTTGAACAGAACTGCAAATCAAATGTATCTGCATAAGCAGGTTGATAAACTCACAAAACAATCTAGAAAAGAAAAACATGAAATAGTGACATTTCTAGGCCCTCTTAAGTTACAACCATATCTGAATAGACCACTCAACCCAAACCTTTCCTGGCTTGGTTATAAGACCTTTGTCTGGTGCTGGCTGTCAATGCCATTTGTACAACTGGAAAACACTACCTGCTCCTTGAAACATGGAACAGGGCATACCACTAGAAACTCATTCCATGATCATTTTTAATTTTCCCCTCAGTTTTATGTTCTGAGCACCTTCAGGAGTTTGAATGATGAAACATGCTGCCAAAAGCACGCAAGACAAAAAGTTCCCACATGTACTCACAAAGGTTAAACCTGGCATCAGAGTGCTTCTAACAGCCTCAACACTAAAGCTTCAGCAACCCAATAGTCAAAGGTTACCTTTCTGAAAGGTAAATCTACTTAATGCTATGCATGTTACAAATGCAAATTTCATTTCAGCTAACTAGGAGAACTAAAAGCTAGGAGGTAATATGTAAAAAATGTCTCAAACTATTTGTTCTGTCTGAGGAACACCAATGAATCAACTTAGAGAAACAGACAACAGAAACCTTTGCCACCATTGCCTTTCAGGGAGTAACACATCCTCCCTTTACCTTTTCATCCAACATCTGGGCACAGACCATGACCCAGAAAGGTGGGAAACCAGCTGGTGTGGTAATATGATCAGGACAGAGTCTTACACAGAACAGTCAGAAGTAAATGTATGTGATCATTATTCATCAAACCACCTCTGAGCATGCAAATAACCTGAACTCATTCAAGGCTAGAATGAGGGTTTTTTTTTCTTTCAGTTATGTCAGCCAGAAACTGCCAGGTGTTTATCATCTCTCCTCCTAGTCGAGTTCATGGAGCCATAAAACATTCTGCAGAGGTACTGTTATTAAAAGACATGCAAGAAAAGCAGGCCTGAAAGAGCAGCCAGATGGAGAACTGGCAATCCCAGAATGGCAAAACGTAGCACACTCATACAAGGAGAATGCTCTGCATAGTTTTCTAAGGCATTACCTTGCTCTGAGCCCTATTCCAGCCCCCACAGTCTCACCCTGCTTTTCACTTAAGCACAGCGAGCTTAGTTTCACTTTCCACTTGTTCCTCTTGCCTGTGGCAATACATTTCATAAGGAAAGCATTTTCGACTAAGTTGCTCAAACAGAGGAGCTCATAAAAATGCAGAAGTATTTGCATGCTTATAAAAGAAACAGATAATCCATTTTCATAATGAAAATTAAATGCATCTATCAAACAAAGGCACAAAAACAAGGCTATCAAGTTCAGTATTAATTTACTCTGTGTAAATACACAGTATGAATCAGCAGTACATACAATTGCCTTTGTGGAAAGTAATGTGCAGAATGACAAACTAATGAGCTACCATGAGCAGATAGAAACTACTCCATCCTTCCTACTTCTACATCTGGTGCAAAAAGACCACAGACACACCACAAACCAAGATCTCTTCCTTCTTTTTAATTTTTTAAAATATTTTTGTATAATTTTGCTCTTAGTTGACATTACCACAAACTGCTTACTCTTCTACATAACAAAGCTATAGAAAATACTGCTGTAAAACTACACTTTACCTATACAGTATTGCAATTCTTGTAGAATGTGCATTTACATTGTGTGAGAAAACCAAAACAAAAAGTGCCATTCTAGGAATAGAAAAGAGGTTAGAGGTTAGTATTTAAAGCAATTTTTAGGATACAACACAGCATCAGCAGATTACTTTGCTGAATTGACAAAAACATGACCTCAGTGTAAGGGAGACTCCAACTGAGAAGTGAACAGTGCAACAAGGGTCAGGTTCCCTGAGCCTGCCACTTCAGGTTCATGGCAGGTAACTGAATGCGGTCCTGGACTGAGGTGGTCCCTCTGGGCTGCACTGGCTCTCCCCTGGCTGCAGAGTTTGCAGGCACCTGGTCACACAGCCTGTAGTAGCATGGGCTGTCTGACACCACTCATGATTCAGTCCCAAAAAGTGCCAGTGCCAGAGAGGAAGTGATCACCTTGGTTAGTTCTGCTGAAACACAGTCCTGTGCTTTGCAAGAACTTGAAATAAGCCTGAAAAGAGCTACTGCTGGAGGAAGTGGCCTCTACCTGTTATCTATATCCAGTCCCCTCCTTCTGCCAGCAGCCAGAGTGAGAGACTGCTGGCTGCAGCCTTTACAAGCTTAGTGCATCCATGGAAGTGTACTAGAGGGAAAAAAAGCAACCAGAAGCTGTACCATGATATATAATCCACTTCTATCTTTAGTGAAAGCCAAAAAACCCCAACCCAAGCCCAACCCCCCATACCTAGCCACTTAAAAATTTTTATTGCAGATTAATTTTATACACTCCAAACTACTTTAACAGGCATAATTTTTTATTTGTGGAAGGTCAGGAGTTAGTAATTTTCCTAATCCAAAGTGACTGTGTGGTAGCTGGCTGCCAAACTGTCAGCTTAAGCTATGAGACCAAGGCCCTCATTCATAAATTTTTGGGATTTTGCTGAGAGCCATTCAGCATGCTGTGATACACTGTGTCTGAACTGGCGTATTTGAAATAGTGACATTTCATAGGCTGCTCAACTCCTCTAGCTACCAAGAGAAATGGGAGAATGACTCACTGTGTAGTCTACTTATCATGTGCTTTAGATAAACTGAATTTAATACGATCTTTTCCAGAACTACTGCATGTGTGATTGCTGGGGAGGAAACAACAAAGTATCCAATGGATCACTTAGACAAGATGAAGTGTTTCAGTAAATCCAACCAGTTATATCAATTTGCCTTTTTTTTCCAGACAGACACTTGCACCCTCTTACCAGCAAGGACAACACAGACTCCTTGTGTTCTTACCAGCTTCCTTCAGCCCTACCCACTCAACAGGACACTGGTGTCAGTGCACATTTAAATATGAAAAGACTCATTCTGCTGTATCTGCTACCTGCCATAAATATGTGCAATAAAATGGTGAACTAGAACACAGGGTGAAATAGAGCAAACACTTTGTAGTACCTGTCTAACTTGACAGTAGTGAGTGCTCTTTGTATTTCACTGCATGTGAGGAACTGACACTGTACATAATGATTAATCTACTGTTTCTCTAAATACATCCTCTGTAGTGTACTTTTTGGTTCAAGTTGTACAGTGGCTCCTAGTGCACAGAAACAGACCTAATAAATAAATTACTGTTTTGTAAATTATAACATCTCCAATCAAAACTTGTTGCCAGATAAGCAATCACTATATGAACACAAATATCTATTTGTTTTGAGAAAGTTCTTATTTTAGCAAACACTGTGGTATAGGAGGCTTGCTATGGAGCTGATAAGCTTGATGTAGAACAGGCAACTCACCTGCTCAGTCTCCAAAAGTACAACACACCTTTAGCTTTGTCTTTAAAAGACCAGCAGGAGATTAGCTTTTTTTTTCAGGCTAATCAGTACATTTGATCCTGAACCACAAAGGACAGCTCTTATGTTATAGCAGAGCACCTCCTATAAAACATTCAAGCACAGGAATCAAGGGGTGTGCCCAGTGGGTGCTGTGGAGAACACAGATGGTGGAACGAAGGACACCAGGCTCCTCCAGAGCCTCCAGCAGGCTCGTGCTGGGACCTGCCTGCGCTGGGCAGACTCACACAGTTTGCTGCTGGGGGCCTCTAGGTGCCACAGCAGGACACGGACAAGTGAAAAACAATCACAGGAAAAGCTAAAAGACAGAAACACTCCTGTGCTGATATGTCTGTAAAAGCATCTGTGCAACTGAGGGACAGTAAAAATTCACTTGCACTAGGAGACTGTTAAAGCAAACTTAACACGAGCGTTAAGGCTGTTCTTACCGTGGTACCTGACAAAGATTTTCTGGCAGCTTTGAAAGAAGTGCCTTAGGGCACACAGGTCCTCTGAAGAAATCAGTTATTTGCTTTATATTTCTTTTCCAAGGACCTGAACTGGGAAATACCAAATAAACATGTTTATAAACTACCAACACAGAAGAGAATTTTCTCTTTGTGGTACTACACGTTCAATATTATAACTTTTTCAGTTCCTCTCTATGCCAATTTTTTTTTTTCCTGTGAGCAGGACTTCTGCAAATAAGGCCCTTAAAAAATCTTAAGGGTGACTTACCAAGAAGGGCAGTTACACAGCTATTTTAGGGGCTACTCTGACAATGAGCTGAGTAGGTGGATACAAGGGATGTATAAATTACAGCAGTGCCAAGGTGAGCAGAGACATGGCTGAAAGCACAACTATTTGGGGATGGGAGGAAATACTTCAGGAAACAAGCAGCAGCATGTGGATGCTTTGACTTTTTTGAGACAGGATGTTTGAAGGTCAAAAATTTCAGCACAGAAATTAAAGTGTTCAAGCTCTCGGTCCCCAATGAGCCCAAGCCCAGTGATGTCAAACCACACGTGGGTGTGTGGTGGGCACTGCTGACAGCACCAGAGCCCAGTCTTGCACCCACAGCACACAGACTGCCATGCAGCAGTCAGTCAGAACCTTAGGAAAGGCACGACTGCCACTCCAGCTACTTCTCTAAGGTTACACAGCAAAGACCCAAACAAGCAGCTGTATAAACTGGATATTGAACCGCTGAAACTGAGACACTGCATGTACAGAGGAAAACCTCAGTGAAGGCGTGGTGCAGGATGCACCTCTTGTAGCTAATAATGTGCCCAAAACAGTTTAAAAAAATTACTTTCATATTACTTCAATCTACTTCTCTGTCTCCTGGAATATGTCACACTTAATTTAAATTAAATTTAAATGTTATGCAGTTGGGTGCTTCATATTACTTCAATCTACTTCTCTGTCTCCTGGAATATGTCACACTTACTAAGCACAATTTAAATTAAAATGTTATGCAGTTGGGTGAAGCACATTGCCAAGTGGAACAAAGATCAGACATTGTACTAATACTACCTTCCCTTTAAAATAGCTTGCACTGTCTTGTAAAATAGCTTAAAAAAAAAACCAATCAAAAACCAGGTCTGCTGTACAAATCTAAGAGCACTTTTGCCAAACAACCATTAGTTTAATGTCAAAACTTTTACATGTTGGCCAAGCTCATACCACAACAAAGGAAGGGGATAGGGTAAACATGTCATTAACATATATTTTAAAAATAAAGCATTCATTTGTCATAAATTTAATTTAAAAAAATATCTTAAAACAAGCATTGCTGTAACTGTCTGGATATTGCTCAGTTACAATCTTATTTTTTGTAATAAGGGGAGTTAGAACAGAACACCACCTCAGTGTTATTAAAATGGTAATTTAAACATCTCTTAATTAGTACAAGCTGTAAGAGAACAAGTACTGGGACGTAATGTGCTATTTTAAGTCTGTCCTTGCAATGTTAACTTGTTTCTAATTTCACAGCCTTTCAAGCATACCTAAATTATTTTTTAAATTGATACACATATTAATATTCTAACTGCTATTATACACCTATGCTATAAAACATCAGGGTTTGGAAACAAGGGCACTTTCCCTCTACACTACCAAAAGTGATGAGCAAAAATCATGCAATGAGCTGGCAGCATCATTACAGCTTCAAGTAAAACAGATATGTATACAAGTCTTCTGCTCTGAGTTTTGACTTTTAAAACTGTCACTGCCAGACCAATGAGTTTATAATAAGAACTTTAAAAGAAATATAAACCTGTTAACCTAAAAGGAAAGTTACAAGTAGGCTTTTTTAAAAAAAACATATGTTTTCCAGATGAATCAGTAATGTACTATAGGGAATCAGTAGTCACATCAATATACATGAAAGGAAATCCTACAAATCCTAGTACATTAGTTTTTGTCCTCATGGAACAACAGTGTAACAGATTTAAGAGTCTCGGATTTAAAGTGATAATTAAGGATCCACCTTGGATCACTTTAAATCCGAGACTCTTAAATCTGTGATAATTGGTAGATCACTTTATCTCTACCTTGGAGATAAAGATATCTCACCTTGAAGCCTGGTGAACTCCCAGACGTACAACAGCCCTTAATTTAGTCTGAACTGTACTATAAAACCCATGCAAAATATATTTTTTGAAAAATAATTTCTCAGTATCTAGGATTCCTTAAAGCCACTTTACTGAGGTGAAAAGTACCCTTTGATTTCAGGGGCAAGTCCAAGTGCTTAGTTCTATCTGAAGCAAAAAAGGAAAACAATTGCTGACATCCTTCACATTGCACAGCTGTTACTCCAAATGTAAAGCAAATAATCTGCAGATTGACTGACTTTTTGAAGCAGCAGCATGTGCTCCTAGCTCACATCCATCCTTAAGCAATTCATGCACTCAAACTTTAAAATTCATCCATTATACAAACTGACAATCCGGCAACATGTTGGCTGAAGGAAAACACTTCCCATTCCTCCCAGTCCCATGCCCACAGTCATCTTTCCTTGCTTGTTCTGCTCCTCTGTTTCCCAACACTGCCTGAGCTATTTATTTCCTTACTAAAAATTTGTTCAATGTGCCTTTGAGTTTTCTGCTATATTTGGGATCATCTTAAATAACTCTGCAGACAATTGTACCACCAGGCCTCATGCTCACACACGCCTTTAACAAAGCTCTGCAGGCTCAAGGCCTCATCCAGCCTGGCTTTGGACACTGCCAGGGCTGGGGCACCCACAGCCCTCCTGGGCAGCCTGTGCCAGCATCTCACCATCCTCACAGTGAAAAAGAAGTGGATGGCAGCCCCAGGTCAGTCCTGACCCAGAAGCTGCTCTGGGCTGTGGCAGCACAGGTCAGCAGCAGCACAGCAGCCTGCAGGGGAGACAGGCTCCCTATCTAGGGCAACAACAACAGCACGAGGAATTTCCACCCCCACCACTCATTCCTAACCTGTGTCTCACACACTTGGTCAAGTAAATAATGCTATGAACACCTGGCACACAATCGAAGCTTTATCTTGATGGTGAGTGCACTTCATATGCAGTGCTAGGTAGGAACTGATAGCCCTGATAAGAAGAGGGGCAGGCAGAGCAGAGCTGCTGGAGTTTATTTACCTTCTGCCCAACCACTGTTGATCCCAATGCAGATCACACTAGGTACTTTCTGCAGAGAAGGAAACTGAAACCACAGCTCCTAGGCAATGCTGGCCACTGGCCAAATCTTTTTCCAAACAGTGTCTTTTAGGTCATGTCCATATAAAACAAGCCAAACCAACTCACAGCTCCAGCATGGCCAGGACCAAGGCAAGGTCCTCCCCATGCACCACTCAGAGCACAGAGCAGTCTGAGAAAGGGCCTTGGTGCTGTCAGGCACCACAGGTGAACCACAGGAGAAACCTGTCACTCCACCTGAGTGTGTGCCTCACTTGCAGTGCACCACAGGTCACCCTGAGAGAGTGGCCACAGAGAATAACCAGTGCTGCACTCAGCCTTTGTTTGCATGTGCCAACCGAGAGAGTTCAACATTTTGGAGAAACAGCTTCTAGGAGTGTCAGCAGATTGCAGGCAATCCGAATTTCCCTCCCCCACACTCAATCAAAAAAACAATAATAATAATATCCACTGGAAACATAGCTCCACCAGCAGAGGAGAAAAACTTTCTTAAGCCCTCCCTTCCACACAGCTAGCCCATTCCAAATGGAAACGTGAAGGGCAGCAATCCCAGTTACAGGGAGGAGAGGAGGAGACTCTGGAACAAAGATGAACACCAAAGCAGTCACTCTGCAGCTGCCCCAGAAGGCAGTAAAATTAAACAGTGTGGACAACTTTTGAGATAGGCCTTCCACAAAAAAGGCTGAAGACGCTGTACCATATAAATAACAATCCAATCTATGAACAAACAGAAAGAAACCATAAATTCTGTTTCTCAGGAAATTGCTTTCCTCCTTCCATTCAACTTCCTTCTCTCCTAAGAAAACAAATGCCCTGAAGCACAGTAACCATTTGAGTATACTACGAAATTTCCCTTAATGATTAACTCCAACTCTTTTTTAGTTTAAACAATGCCTTATTCAGAAGGGTTTTCTTATAAAAGAGCACTCATTTGTCATGTTAACTACCTAACTCTATTTATCATTAACTTCAATATATTTGCATGTTTACTTGGCTCAGGCTACTGTTTGGTATTTAATTTGAGTACTAACTTCATTTACAACAGTGTAATAGGCTGCACCTATTTTACTAGATATATATCATAACATCTGGCATATATCTGTATGCAAACCTTGCCTTAGTGGTTTGTTAGGAAGTGGTTTCTCTGTTTTTATAAAAGGGCTGAAACACCACCCTTGCATTAGGAGAAGGTGTCATCTGCTGCACTCTGCTGATTTATTATGCCGAAAGGTTACAGCTGCTGCTGTTGGATTATTCAATAAGCAGCCATGGGCAGCACCACCACTGGCTGTGCATGTTCCAGAGGGCATTAAAGGTAACACATGAGCTAACTGGGCACAAGGTGCAAACACCTAAATAATGAACACCTCCTGAAACCCCCCACCACAGCAGGGTCTGGGGGGAAATTGTCTGTTTCCAGTTTATACAGTTCTGTAATTTAAAACAACAGTGAAGGGGGAACTGGTAAATACAAAGAACTGAGAGCTATGTTAAATATGCATTAAATAATTTCCAAAATAAGTTTTATGAGGAAATATTTAAGGCTTCTGTAGAACTGTATTAAAATACAAACTTTGTATCCATGCACAAAGAGCAGAAGAAAAAAATGAAACCTATCATCCTGTCAGAGACTGCAGACTGCTACCTATCTTTTAATTGGGTGAAAAGACTGAAGACATGAAAATCTTAAACATATCTTAGGGAAAAAGAAAATAATGCCTTCAGCCACTGCAGTTAGTCTGAGATGACAAATTCCAAAGATTCAAAATGCAGAACTTATAGAAAAAACATTGTATGTTTCTAAGGTCTATCTGAAGCTTTATTTGCTCATTTTTGCACTTGAAATTGGCAAGGCTACAACTGCAACTTTGTCTATAATAGTAAGTAACAACACACATCATATTCTCATTTTCTGCAACAATCCATGATCCAAAGAGAACCAACAGAGGACGCAAGCAAGGACCAACATTATCCTTAACCTGACAATCATCTTTTACCATCATCAGACTTCAACTGTCCATTCACTTCTTCTATAAAACATTCCTCATCACCAAAGCTCTCTGTAACCTCCATCTATATTTACTGAACATCCTCGCTGAAATGTTTTGTACTATCACTCCTTTTTTTTCTAACATAAATGTTTCTGATTTCATTTTTTCCCAAATGTTATGTGCTATAAAGGTATATGCTACAATTATTTCATTAAGGGACTGGGCAAACAGCAGCACTGGATCAGGAGAGGTCTGTGCAGCCAGGGCAGGGGAGCCAGGTACTGCACATGCACTTGCTTTTCAAATAAGTTTCAGAAATCCGCAACGGGGATGTTGCAGAACACCAAAAAGCAAAATCTATCACAGGGGAACACGACAACAAAAATATTCAGCCAGTTTCTTGCTTTCCTTTAACAGGTGCTTTTGTGACGTGGAGAAGCATGCGCTGAGCAGTGAATCACCTCTCCTGATCAGCATCAGCCCATCTCCCGAGCCCAGCCTCCTCCCCTGCATCCAGGCGGGGGCCGGGGGGCTCCGGGGGAGGCCAGAGCAGCGCCGAGCACGGCCGGGCGCAGGGAGAGCCGGGATGAGCTCCCGCCCGGCGCGAGCGACCGCCGGGAGCGACCGCGCTCGGCCCCGCGGGCTGCGGCGTGACGGGAACGGCGAGATGCGCCAGCGCTGCCCCGAGCTGCGGGCAACACCCGGAGCGGAGCCGCGGCCCGGGCCGGTGCTGGGAGGGCGGGCAGGGATGCTTCCTGCCCGGCTGCACGCCCGCCCGAGCCCCCCTCGGCACTTCCAGGAGGCCTTTCCGCGCCGCCACCTGTTCGGGCAGCGGCCGAGGCAGCTCCTGCCCGCCCGTACCGGAGCGCATCCTCTCGGCCCGGCCGCCCCGAGCCGCGGCCGCGGGGACGGAGCTGACCCCGCGTAACCCCGCTGCTGCCCCGGCGGACCCGGCCGCCTCCGCCCCGACGGGAGCCCCGGGCAGCGCCGGCCCCGCGGCCCCTCCTCGTGCGCGGGGCCACCCTCCCGCCCCTCGCCGCTCCCCAGATGCTGCCGAGTGCCAGCAAGGCGGGGGACCAGCTCTGCCCCACTCCATGTCGCCCCACTCCATCCATCCCATCCCATCTCACCCCACCCCATCACATCACATCCCATTCCATTCCCGCCGCGCAGTGCCCGCACTCACCGTGCCCAGCCCCGGCACTGCCGGCGCAGATCACAGCGCTACCGGCGGCGGTACCGGCTGCTAAAATGGCTGAGGGTGCGGGGGAGGAGCGAGCCCCGCGCCGCCGCCGCCTGGGCCGCCCAGCGCTGCCTCCCTCGCTTCGCCACCGTGACGCGCTGGGGAAGGGGCGGGGGCCGCGGACCCGAGCCCGGGGTCCGGTCAGTGCTGCCGCCGCGTCCCGAGGTGACCCCGGGATCCGCAGGCTCGTCAGGGGGTGACGCGGGACCCCGGGCAGAGCTCGGTTAGCGCGGCCCTTCTGCGGCGCTTATCTCAGCTCGGCCGGGGCTCACGAGCAGGCCGCGGGCAGGCCGAGCTGCGGGCGCACGGCAAAGCCACCCCGGAGCCCCAGCGCCGACCCCGGGCACAGCCTCCCGCCGGGCTCCCGCTGGAGCAGCACGGCCGCCAGTCCGGATCTCACAGGCTGGAACAGGCAGCTCAGATGTTTGTACCCCAGTTTTGGCTCCTGACGATCTGGAGACCACCAGGCCCAGTCGGAGGCCCCTTTCTTCTTTATTCAGAACACAAGGAACGGGTTTCAGCAGCAGCGCTGACGAGAGCGACTGGGATTACTCACAGTGAGGTTCAAAAAGCCAGAGGCTACAAATATCCCCATGATTCATGTAAGAGTTTGCCAGATGGTTTTAGCTGTTTTGGAGTCTGAGGCTTCTTCGGAAGAGAACTGGCACAAAATAACTTGCTTCTGACAATGCCACTTCTTAATAGTGTGTAAGGGAAGAGGAAACATTTGGTGCTCCATCTATGTGGAACAGAAGTCCAGCAGGATCCTCCCCCGCCCCATATGGAGCGGGACAGAGTGTGAAAAAACAAAATTGGCATACATTACATAGCCCTTGCTATATTTGGTAACAGGTTTGCTTCCATAAAAACAACACCTTGCAGGAGGCTAAAATGTTCTGGCAACAACTGCGCATGCAATGTGGATGTTATATTTAATAATTCCCAGAGAAGCAAAAAGCACATCACTTCCTTGGATAGAGGCTGAGCTGAATCACAGTGTGGGTTTTGCTGTTTGGACTATATGACACTTGGGGCAGCCTGTTATACTCTCACTTTGTTCTAATTTGTTGCAAACCCCATTGTTTTTCTTAATGTCACATCATCACTAATAAGAGAACCTGGATTGCACAAGATGCCCAAAGGCATATCTGTTTCATGCAGATTACTTTTTTGATCTAACCTCCTTAAATACTTAGAAAAGGTTGGGCAAACCAACATGCCACATTTTTTTTTTCCAACTAGAGCACTGACACAGCTTCTTTTCTAAGTCTTTGTCATGAACAGTAAATAGGCAAGAAAATCTACTTGCAATTTATTCCAGCTATTTTGTACTTCTTCCAATATTAGATTTTGAATTAAGTGAGTGCAGATTTACCTGGCTGTATCCTGCTGGTGGGTAAGGAAGCATGTCTTGTGCCTAAGCCAGCTAAAGCACTGGACTGACCACAGTGCATCAGGGCAATTCCCGAGGTAGAACACGACGCTGTCCTCAACAGTGGCTGGCCATCTCCTGGGAAGGTGAGGCTTCTGCAACTTCAAGACCTTTATCTAGAAATAGCCTGTATGTGCTCTTGATAGACAATGGAAAAGAAATCCATTTGCTTTCTTAGTCCTCTAAGCTTCCAGCATCTACAGCTTGATGTCATTCCACAGTCTCACTTCATGCTGGGTGGAAATTACTTCTGTGTGTTCTGTGCCTTCTGTCTGGTATTTCCATGTGATGTCCCCTGACTTTTGCATTAGTTAACCATTCTCTCTTACCTCTCTCCATGCCACTCCATGTTTTACAGATTTGTAGCACAGATTCCTTGCACTACTACCTTACTCATCTCTCTTCTAGGCTGACAAGTCTCACATTTTCCAGGTGCAGTTTCATGGTACTTCCAACAAGTCGGAACTTCCGTCTCTCTACTGCAGACTGCATGTCCTTGCTGCCACCTGCACTCCAGGTGCTTCAGGTTGTGCATTCTGCTGAGTGTAACTCTGCCCTCTCCTCTCCTTTTATGCCCTCCTTGCTGGAGATCTCATCAGGCCGTGGGACCACCTCATAACCTCTTGGCCCTGGACAAGCTGGCCCTGTGTGCCACAGCAAGAAGCTCTGTGGGGAGCCCCAATGGGTTTGTCCCGAGGCCAGGCACCACTGACTGACATCCAGGCCTCAGAGGTGTTCTTGGGGATGCTCCTCAACAAAATATTTTGTTACTTTGTTATTTACTAATAATTTCAGCAAAGTTGGAAACAAATTTTGGTTAATTACAATAAAGGAAAAAATATAACGTGTCAGTTTATTATTAGAATAATGAGTCCTAAAATTATACTTACTACAGACAGGGTGAAGAGTCAAATACACCTTGTTCTGTGGAGGCTCTAGAAAGAGCACCATGGGAAACCTTTCCTGCAGCTACAGGTATGCAAATACCTGCCTGATTTTCATAGGATTTACTGATACAGAATATGCTCTTTTGTTTGTCATAAGATACATTTTCATTTAAGCCAGTTCTTTGAAAGACTCCAAACATTCTGTTTTGAAAGCAAAGCAGAAATGGATTTACTTGTTCTTTATAAATAAAGCTGTGGGCAACTAGTAATTCCCTGAGGATGTGTGATACTTTCAAAGGCTTTCAAACAGGAAGATAAGACAAGGAAGCCTATGGTCAGGAAGCTGACATTCACTACAAGATGTGTAGAATGTGTTTGTGAACTTTTAGAGGAGTCTATAAACAAAAATTAAAATTATCTTTCTGTAACAAAATGTTGCAGTATCCTCAAAACCAAATTTAACTGAAAGGATTTTCCTTGTCTCTCATGTTGCAACTCCTTTGTATCTTTCTGGTAAGAAACACTCACTGAAGATCTCTGTGGGATGTGATGAGTGTAACAGCACTTCCCAGACAGTGAAGTCACTCTACTGACGCTGATTTTCAGCCTTAACACAGAGGTCAAAAGAAGAGAAAGGGATCTTGAGGAGAGGCTGAAGCCAAGGCCTCTGTTTTTCACCCAGGATTCAGTGCAAGCTTGGAAAGAGTAAAGAGCTTCTCACCTCATTCCTCATATCAGCAAAGGGATTGCATCATCTTAGCACTTCTAATCTAAGTAATAAATCAATATCTGGAGCCTTGTGCGTTGTTTATTTGTATTAGGAGAAGTGACTGATGAAATCAACTATTTCCTAAGTACAGTCCTGTTTGTCTTCACAGACTGTACAGTTGGAATCAAAACATCAGAAAACAAAATTTGTACACAAACTTGGCCATTTTGGAGCAAGCATTCTCCCAGAAAAGTTGCCTGAATTTCATCTCAGGCTGGTGAAGTTTCAGTGTGCCCCTTTTTGCACACTGGACCTCCACAGGAATTCTGCCCATCAGTAGTAATGCACTTTTGTTCACTCCAGACCTTTTAAAACTGACTCTTGTGTTTTAAAAGAAAACAAAACCAACATAGCAGTCAGTCATATACATTTGATGGCACAAAGGCTTACTGATATCTCCAAGTAAGTGCATTCCAAGGGGGAATTTCCAGCAGGGGGAACTGAGGGATGGCTGTGAATAAAAGGCAGAATTTTAAGAGAAGGGGCTGCTACCAAATATATGAATTGTTTTGGTTTTTGATGGTTTTTGTCCAAGCTAGTTCTGTTCCTCCCTTAGTCTTATATACGAAACCAGATTTAAAAATTATCTGCAAGTATGTTTATAATGGTTATCAAAGAATAACAAATTTCTAGATTTTTATAGGAAAAACAAAAAACCCTTTATTGCATCTCCACCATAGTACTGAGCCTTTTGGGAAAGGAGCAGGAGGAACATAGAGACAAAGTCTGATGGGTTCTCTGAACAAAAAACCTGCAATCATTTTCCCCCTCATGCACCCAAATATGACTTCTCACTTTGAGTCATTGTGCACAAAAATGAACAGCAGCTTGCAAGCACTGCACAAATACTTGCATTACATAAGTAAATAATTGGTTTAAGCCCTATTCCATGTGTGACACAGAAACAGGTACCTGCTTGCAGACATCACATTTGTATTTTGCAAAACCATCAGCTTCATTACCTGCTCAGATGTGTGCAGAGGCTAGAGCTACTTTGCTTTCCAGAAGTAATTCCTGACAGTAACACTCTGCTTAGGCTTCAAGACACCAGAGCAGTGACAGCACACCTGTTCTGGTTTTCTCTTTTCCCTGATTCTTTCCTCCAAGTGGGCACCTGGTTATTTGCTATCTTGGGTCACATCAGCACTCACAGGCAGTTCCATTGGTTGGGTCACACACTACACAGAGCCAAAGCAGAATGTAGTTTCAGTGTTCTCTTACTGTCCAGTTTATCACAAAACTGAAAAGCCCTATCTGAAGCACAGCCTTCAAGTATTAGATCAAAAATAGGATGCAGTGTTGGACCAGGAATTCCTGATTGAAGGATATACATTTTAAGAAAAGAAAGCAGTGTTGACAGAGAGATTTCTGATATATGCCACAATAAATCTAGGGAAAGATGTGGAACTCTCATGTTGTTGGTGCCAAAAGTTACATGTCTTAACAGCAGAACAATCATTAGATCACCACAGAAAACAAAATACCTAAAAGTAGACTTCAGAGGAAACTTTGAACAGCCATTGCAAAAAAAGATAGAATAGTTAGCACTTACTGAAATATGTTGTGTGCTGCCTAGAGACATTCTCAAGAAAGAGAATTAATTGCTATGGAAATGAAATATTTTATTTAATTTTTCACATGATCCAGCCTAAAGTGCATAACCACAGCAAACAGTAGCCACAACAGGCCAGACATACTACAAAGAGCCCATGAGATTAGGATACATTATGGCTAAAAATATTAAAAATGGTCTTCTTTCAGCATTTCTGTACTCTTCTCACCAGGATCTCTTGAGTCTTATAGTTTCCTTTAAAGGAATCATAACATTTTAAATATGGTGCCCTAATTTAGTATGAAACCATTTGGGGAATTCATTAGAGCAAACACTAGACTTCAGCGAGGACCGTGACCTCAATAATTTTTCTGTTTACATGTGTGATGGCAGAAGTTTTTGACAGGAACAGCAAGGCCAGCTCCAAACTGATTTTTTTTCCACAATTTTTTTTTTATTTAGAACCTAGATAGAAAAAAAAGTTACGTGTTCGCCTTAACTCTGCTCCAATTTTCCATCTGAGCTCAATTAAAAAAAAATACAATACTCCATTTAAAAAAGTAGCAGTAGTCCTAAGCATGTACATTTGTGGGTTGGCTGCTGCTTCAGCTGCATTTCTGAGGAACAGGGAACAGGGAAGAACAAACAATATCCTCTGTGGTGCTCCTGTACATGTTGTTCTCACAGGGTGCAGTTGCATGTGCATGAATTCCTCTGAATTTGCACAACTGAGAAGTAATGTTGGTAAGGTTAGAATGACTCAACTTATTGCTTATCTGTCTGTAGCCATTCCTGTAAGCCTTGGGGGAAAATATACATCAGTACCTTGATTGCATGAAGGACAGATATCATCTTGTG